CAGACATTGGACTTGGTGGTGTCCTGTTCATCCATATATGGTCAGCTGTACTGTGCTCTAAAATGTCCCCTGCAGGCTAATCCAGGAGTGCTTGCTGACAGGCTCCAAAAGAAGCCCCTTGTAGTTTCTGCTGAGCTGAAAGTTTTAAAATGAGAAGGACTATATATAGGGTATAGGGACTGGTTGGTAATCTCAGAACTCCTCAGAGTGCAATCACCAAGGGGAAATAATGACATCACAATATTCAAGATATAGATTATCATCTGGTAACTGGTGATACCCATGGTAAAAAATGACTGCCTGCTTTCTTGAGTTTATAATCTTTCCTATTTTGTTCCCTGATCTACAGTTACTCTATTATATTGCACTTCCCAGATCACACAGCTTTTTCTCCCTCCTCACTTCATGTTATATCTAACTTTCCCCCCTCCATCTGTTTTTGTCCAGTATTAATCACTGCAAACTACTATGCCTGTTCTTCATGATCCTAGCATGCTACTAATTTAGTTAACAATTACTTCCACACCCTCATCCTTTGTAGCATGCAATATATCACTAGGTGCCTGATGTCCAGATATTATAATGGATCATATGTTACCATTGCCATTTGTAACAATATATATTATTCAGCAGTACAATACCACATTGTCTGCTAAATATACTTTATATTTAGAAATCCACCTATGAAATTGCTTGAATACATAAAACACAGCTCTTGTACAGTACTTGCTTTGTCTATAGTGAAATAAACCATATATAATACTGCACATAGCAGACTATAATATTTAACTCTGACTTTAAACTTCTCTCTGCTTCACACTTAGATAGCACCTTTCATCTGCAGAAAGCATAAACATGAATCAATTAATCCTCACAACATCCCTCTGGGGTAGGTATTAGTCTATTAATTATAATAATAAGTCAGCTGAGTCACAGAGAAATTACGTTATTACCCAAAGTCAAATAAGGAATCTGGCAGAACCAAAAACAGGACTAAGGCATTCAGATTGCTAACTACTAGACCATTCTTTACTTTACAGACTGATGGTGCAATAGAGAAATTAGAACCAAAGTTCTCAATATGAGAACCAAACTCCCACAGACATCAATGGGAATGCCACAGGCAATGTCATATATAGTACTTTGCATCTATCCACCTTAAATGGTCTTTTAAAAAAATATTTGCAAAAAAGGGCAGAACAGTTTAGCATACAAAATCTGGTCACTAGAAATTAATGGAAAGGAGGGAGGATAGGCAGTTGCTTTAGCTTATGGGACAGAACAAACAGGTTCCTTATATACTCACATTGAAAGTAGAAAGTATAGTGAATAATAATATTTTTATCATTACTCCCATTAGTAACATTAGAAAAGTAGATATGTTTCCCTTTATGATTGTCCCCCTGAATTAACTTTGTTTTTTTTATTTTAAACTTAAATTGTCCCTTTCTTACAATATGCAGATTACAGCATGCTCATTAAAGGATCTATGGTCATTTCATTCCAGTTATTAAACATGGCTCTCATTCTCCATAGAGAAGAATTGTAAACGCAAAGATAATTATGGACTGAGGATTTTTTTTAAATCATTTGTGTGCTGCAGCCATAGTACAGTGGGTTGTAACTGTATCAGATATCATGAGGTAAGCAACATTTGAACAAGGTCAGTATTTATATGGGAAACCTCAGTGTGCTTTTTTGTGACATATGAAATACTAAATAAATAGTGTTGGTTATCAGTAAACGACACTTTGCTCAAAGTCAATATTGAACAAATTCTCTTGCATGGTGTTCTATTGACTGTACTCTTAGAGGTCTCATTATTGGAACAGGTTGCAAAGCTGAGGTCCTACACATTTGATGTAACTAAAAAAAACTCACAGGACATTTTGCAACATAAAGCTCTTTCTATTCCCAAGCTATCTGTGCATCTCACCCCAAGCATTGTGTTTCTGTAACAAGCAAAATGAGTCTTATAGTTTGTAAAACATTTTGGGATCTTTTTGGTTAAAAGTCACTGTGTAAACAAGGTCAAAATTATTATTTTTTCTTGAATGACTGAAGGTATTGGGAATGCTTTATATGCCTAGGTTCCAGCTACTTCAATACGTATAACTTTACAGCAAACTCTCCCAAAATATATCCTTAGTCTTGAAATTGGATAATGCAATTTTCTATTATTTTTGACATAAGAACTGGTAAATCATTTTTTTAACTTCCTACTATATGTAATACTGTAATTTGGATAGACACCTTATTTTATATATACAATATTTGTGATGTGTGTGTATGTGTGCACGTATGTGCGCATACACCCCACATACATAATTTATTTCTCAAAGAGAAAATCAAACACACATGCTATTTTAAGAGTCTGAACAACATCTTTCAACAAAGTTTAGCTGCTTTCATTTTGTAGACACTTTTAATTTTATCTGGAAACTTTTTGACATTAGAAATAGAACAACTGTAGTTTCTCATTATGTTTGCTGCCAGAATCTATGCTTGGTTGCTCAACTAAAGACCTTACATTGCTAATTACTTCCACATGCCCATATCCCAAGTGAAGGAAAACTTATTGGTTCTGACAGCCCATTCTCTCAACACTGAATTCCAAATGAAAACTCAAATTTTGGCCAAACATAACATTTCATCAATCTTGTTCTACTGACTGCAAAAGCAACATCAAACAAGGGGTGCTAATGGCTTTTTACTGAGCAGTTCCCAAGCTTATATTCTCTGATGATAGATCCACGTGAGCAAAGGACTTCTTTAAAGTACTTAGTAATTAGCTTTTGAACCAGGAAACAATGCGTAAAGTAAATTGAACAGTCTGTGTGCCGATGACAGAGTGAGTACAATTGACAAGCGATATGGACAGCAGAGACCAACAGAGAAAGAGCTAAAAACAAATAGAGCACGTATAAATAAAGCAAAAAGAAAAAGCCGTGATAAAATAAGATGAAGCAAGCCCCAAAGCTAGCGGGAAGCCTGTGATCTAGGAGTTGAGGCCTTCGGGGTGTTGGAGTTTGACTGAAGATCAGGTCCAAGTTTAGAGACAACAGAGCAATGCTGGGTACCAGTGACAAAAAAAGACTAGACTAGGGGGAAATGAAACTGTATTTTTATAACTGTATTTATTAGATCATATTCTCTGCTGATGAAACTCCAATAAGAGTTACACCAGCAAATGCTGTGGTTTTATGTTTGAAAAGCTTCTAGACTTAAGAAATCTGGGACTGCATATAGGAAACTGAATAGACAGATATTAAGAGTAAACATTTGGGAGAAACTAGTGATGCCTCTCTCTCATGGTCAGAGAAGGCAAATGACAATGAAAATGTTTTTGTTAATCTTGAGGATTATAGACCCAACTGGTCTGAGTGAACTGTGCTAGCAGATTCCGGTACTGGTAGTAGTTGTATATTTTAGGCATTTGAGAGTATCTTAAAAAAAGCCGGGCCGGGGGGTGGGTAATGATTAAGGAGTTCTCTGCTTCACTGGGACATATTGTAATGCTCAGTGGTGTAAAAAATCAGTGAAGGAAAAGCTTTTACTTGTGGATCACATGATGTAAATCTGTGCTCAGGAATTAGCTGGTAAATGGTTACAGATCTTTAGAGACTCTCAACTCAACAAGGAAGAGAAATAACTTGATATTACCATATTCATGTCACATGAACATCATATGTAAAGTGATGGTTTCAAAGGGACTAAACTGAAATGCTTAATTCTCAAAGATGAGGGGAGGGACAAACAATTTGATTCCACTAAAAAAGGATTATTCAGAGTATCCTCTATTATGTTCTGTGGGAAGGTGTATGTGAAAGGTCTTGAGGACAACAGGCCAGTTTCTTCCATCTATTCACTGGAATGGCAGAAGGATGAGCTGAACTAAAGGGAAGATGGGAAAACTAGTAGAGTGGGGCAGAAAAGAGAATATTATTCTCTCAGTACATAGACCTTATTTGAGACTATTTCCCAACAGATCTAACATGGCTTTCAGATAGACTTGGTTGTAACATGGTCAAGATGGAAAAAAAAGGCATTCGATGGAAATGTAAAGCAGTTAATTTTTGAAGGTTTATGTGGCCTGTTTAAGCATAAGTGTTGCTACCAGCCAAAAAGAATTATTCTTATGTGGTTATAGCACTACTCTGATAATGAATTCATTTTTTTTTTTTTTTTAGGATTAGCATATCTTTTTTCAGGGTAGGGTATGTAATGGTTTTAAAAAGGCTGTTCTAAATCCTGAGAAGTGCCGAGCACCTGCAAACGCCAAATTAAGTCAATTGGAGCTGCATGTAGTTAGCATCTCTTAGGATTTGATCAATGAAAAGTAGCAATATCATCTTCCAGTGTGGCCATCATAATGAAATAACCTGAACAACATAAAGGGCCCATGTTGTGTTCTGCCATACCCAATTTTCTCATGGACTGAGTAATTTCAAAATGACGACCAGTATAATTACTTGCTCAAGAGACAATCAAGTGATGTCTAACTGGTTGATGCTTAGAAAAGTGTGATATGACCTTGTTCCACAAGCTAACTGCAGATGCAATAGCAGGGTTCCTTCCAGAATATATCAATTTAGTTCTAGTGGTATCCAGAGACTCTCTAGAAAAAGGGGCAAAATATTGTGACTTGTACCTTAGCATGGCCCAGGTCTCTAATAACATAGTGTGACAACTCTCTGGTGGTGACATTTGATGTCACAGAGCACAAGCATATTAGGGAGTGTCCATGAGTCAGATGTCACCACATTCAGGGGTTCTTTAGCGTGTCACAACCACACCTGGTCTTTTTTGACTTACTTTCTGCCTCGGGTTGAGTTAAAAGTCCCGCCGTATTTCTTCCGATTAAGGATGAGAGCAGCAATTTCTGGCACGTAGCGAGCAAACATTGCCTACATGCATGAAACAAAAAAACAAAAAAAGAAAATGGCATGCAGAGAGTGTTCTACTGCAGCAGAGGCAGCAGAGCCTCTTGGAATACTTACTTTCTTCCACTAACCGCACTATAGGAACCACCATATTTCTTGCGGTTTCCTATTAACTCTATGATTTCAGGGACGTAGCTGGCAAACATGGCCTAAGAAGAAGATAGGAGACAGAAGAAAAGACTAAAAAGAGAGGCCAAAGAAAGGGGGATGATGAATATTTTCAGAAGATATATATCTTTTAAGATCTGAAAATGCAAAAGAATTAGACCTTTAAAAGTATTTTTAAAATTAAAAAAAAAAAAGGCAAATTATAAAACAAAATAAGAGGGTTCAATGTAAAAGTTGGTCTTGAAGAAGATGTACACTTGGTAAACTAAAGTAATGGTCAAAAGAGGGAAAAAAGCACACAAAACAAAAGAAGAACAAAATAAAGTCAAATTGGCATCTAATTGTAAAATATTGGCTGTGTCTAATTCTTCCTGAAGAAGGGGGAAAAAACTCTTCAAAGATTACATGCTGCAAAAAACAAAAGTGGATATTACTATTGTTACTTTTTTTTTTTATTTCTTTTTTTTTGGAAGATAGGTGGACTTTTTTCCCCTTAATGAAGATTCAAAAGAAGACAAAAACAATATGGTGCCAGGCATTTGCCCGCTCTCAAGAATCAAAATGATGTCAACTCCCCCCAAAAAACCCAAAACAAAAACAACCTTTTTCAAAAGTTTTGTTTTTAAAAGATTTGTAAGAACACCTGACAGAAAAAGGTAGTAAGGAGAAAAAAAAATGATCTGCCATGTTTTGTCCAACAAACATCTTGCTTGTGGCTGGATACTTCTAAGAGCTGCTGCCAGTCAACTTGGTCTCTTTATCCATATGCAAATATGTGTGTCTTTTGTATGTAAGTGCATATATATTATACATATTGCATTGATAATGTATCTGTTATACATATACCTCCTACAGAGAGACGTATGCATATGTACAATAAATATGTGTATAACAATACATATATGCATGTAAATGTACAATACATATATTGTGAATGAATTTTAATTCACACTTACCTTACAGAGTATAAATCTTAACATAAACTGCTCTTTTAAAAGACAAAATGCAGCAGTTGCTGTAGTGGTGCTAGCAATGATAAAAAAAGATAATTTGACATAGAACAATTAGTAATTTTAGTGCTGTGTACATACTTATTTGAACAGGAAAAGGAGTGATACAATTTGCTGAGTTAAAAGGAAATTTGTTATGTTTATACTAAACGTAGTCTACTGTGAGTGAACATTATGACATGGTTGCATGTTTGAAATTAAAGAGAGCATGGTTTGCTAATGTCTGGATCAGGCATGCTGCTCTTTAAGGCAGTACTAAGCCACAGTGTTTGTTGGAATTCTGGGAAGGAACACAGAGGGTGAGGGAGGGCTCTTGAAACCGCAAACTTCCTTCAAAATATCAATGACCATCACCAAACAATGCACAGTTAGTGTCACTGAAAAGTAATGGACTGTAAATAATACTGTAAATAGAATTGCTAAGGCACTTCATGTATTTACATGCATTACTTTCTTAAAATATATTAGAGTTATTCTTACTGTAGATTAATGACAATCTCTACAAAAATGTGACAAGATCTGGCTTAACAAGATACTTGTCTTATAAAAAGAAAAAGATATGCAGCTGAATTGTTTAAAATTCTTATGATTTTAACTTACTAAACCAGATGCTACAGTTCAGGTTGCTGCTTAATAAACTTTAGGGGATATAAAAGAGCTGGTATTAAAGTAGTAGTAGCAATAAAGAGATTTTACCAATCCCCCGAGGATGAAGAAGACCATGAAAAGGCGACCAAGGGTTGTTTTTGCATAAACATCTCCATAGCCAACAGTGGACATTGTAACCATTAGTAAATAAACACATTCCCAATATGTAAGTGGTTGGTTATTTTGGAAATTTTCCCATGGATCCCCTGAGTTCTCCACCTACAACATAAAAGGACAAATATAATGATTTAATAGGGCAATAACAGATTAATACTAGTTGTAATTACTTACTTTTGTCTAATTGGCATGCATATAATGCTGGAAACATTTTACCAATAAAGAGCCAAATTCTGCCTTAATTAGAGTTGTACAATTCCACTGCTACCATACAGGGTCTTCTTGCTTACGTTACTTGTGGAAAACACTATCACTAATCATTACCAGGGCCGGCTCTAGGCACCAGCAAAACAAGCTGGTGCTTGGGGCGGCACATTTTTAGGGGCGGCATGGCCGGCGCCAGAATGCCGCCCCTAAAAATGTGCCCCGGCCGCCCTAGCTCACCTCCGCTGCTGCGGCCGCTTGCGCGCCGCTACTCGTCCTCCCTCCCAGGCTCTCAAGCCTGGGAGGGAGGGGGAGCAGCAGCGCGCGAATCAGCTGTTTCGCGCGCCACGGCCGCTCGGGGTCTCCCCCTCCCTCCCAGGCTCTCAAACCTGGGAGGGAGGGGGAGATCCCGAGCGGCCGCGGTGCGGGCGCCGCTTCTCCCCCTCTCTCCTAGGCTTGAGAGCCTGGGGGGAGGAGGCAGGGAAGGGGCGGAGTTGAGGCGGGGCTGGGGGTGGGGTAATTAAAAAACGTGGGGGGGGCGGCCAAAATTGTTTTTGCTTTGGGCGGCAAAAATCCTAGAGCCGGCCCTGATCATTACTAGAGTATTTAGTTCATACTGGAATCCAGCTTGTCTCATTTTCCTTTTTCTTCTAAAATAATGCACGGCCAATGATGTCATGTACATAGTAATGGTCGTTAGTTAACCACATGTATACGTCATGAGAAACAGATCTCTGGCTCCAAAAACTCATAACTTTTTGTTCCATAAGCACAAGCTTCTACAATCAAAACTCAAGTCTTTACTAGCTATCAGCAGAACATGATTTATGCCCAATCATCAGAGGGAAAGATAATTACAAATGACTAAACAGTTGAGCAGATCTCACTATACCCAGCAGAGAGAACTGCTACACATATCAAGAGTTCATTATGGCCTGACCAATGAATTGGTTGAGCTCTTGTAAGCTACAGTTCTTTTATAACCCCCTATTTTCATGCATCTATGAGACTGGAATTGCCATGCTAGATCAGACACGAGGTCTATATAGTTCAGGATCCTTTCTCTGACAGTGACCAGTAACAACTTAGTTTGACTATAAAGACTGGTTCCAGTCTAAAATTCATCAAGGAGCAAATTTTCAAAAGGATCCCTGAAGTGAACCTGCAATGCTAGTAAGTGCATTAATCTATGCAATCAAAACTCTGGGAGAATTCTGTGCATGCTCAAGTGATAGTCTCCTTTATTCAATTCATGCATAAGTACATGCAGACAGATAGAAGCACTTGAAAATATTTGGGCAAAATTTAAAAGGCACCTAATTGAAAAGTTGTCTCTTAAAATTCTGAATATGGAAATAAACAAAACAATTAAAAAAATAAGCTTGCCATTTTTAACCATTCCTCCTAAGCTTCCTGAGCACTTCAGGCTACAAGAATGGGAAGAAAGCAGAGTGACTTTATCTTGTTTCTGAACGGTAAATAAAATGCTTTCAAATTCCAAACAAGGCATCACAGAGATCTGTGTTTAAAATTACTATAGAGCAGAGATTCCCAAACTGTGATCTATGAATCACTTGCTGGTAGTCCTAGGAGAACTGGCGGTTCCATGGGTCTGCTCCCACACCCCTCTTATTTTCCAGCTCTTAAATTTTATTAAAAAGCAGCTAAAATACAGTAAGTAATTTCCAGATTTTATTTCCCCATGTAGCCAGTTATTGCAGTAACCACAGGGATGATATGTGATTATGAATGGGAAGGAAAATATCCTTATGATAATCTTTCCATAAGATGCGGTCCACATTATGAAATTATAAAGTTGAGAAACCCCTGCAGTAGAATTGGACCACCTGCACTAAAAAGCATGCAAAGAAAGTGTGAAAAACACTGAAACAGAATATCAACGATTATTAAACTTTTAAAAACCTGCTTCTCAAATCTAGAAAAATAATACCTGAACTACTAATAAATAATTAATAACAACGCATAGCACAATTATAACATGTTTTGGCCATCTCCGGCCAACATAACATCTCCCGCCAGCATAACGCCAGTGTGGACAGCGCTGAGGTAGCTGTAACTTGCATCCTTCAGGGGGTGTCTTTTTCACACCCCGGAGCAACATAAGTTAGATTGACTTAAGCGGTAGTGTAGACCTACCCTGAGTCTGGTCTTTTGAAGTCTATGATGATGCTTGTATCACAAAAGTCACAGAGGAGTATATTTGTGATATGAGAGAGACAAGGTGGGTGAGAATATATTTCATTGGACCAACTGCTGTTGGGGAGAGACATAGGTGCTGACTTTTATTTTTCCCCACGGGTGCTCTACCACCACTCCACCCTAAGGCCCCACCCCAACTTTGCCCCTTCCCCCAAGACCACACCCTCTCTTCATCTCTTCCCACACTAGCTCCGCTCCCTCCCCTGAGTCCCAGCCCTCGCTCCGCCTCTTCCCACTCTGCCCCTTCCCCGAGGTCCCCACTCTCCCACTGCTTCTTTATCTCCATCCTAACCCAATCCCCTCCCTGAGCTGCCGATCAAGCTGTTTGGCGGTGCTGCTGATCAGCCGTGCCCCAGATTAGCTGATTAGGGGCACTGCCAAACAGCTGTAGCTGGTGGGTGCTGAGCACCCACAACTTTTTTTCCATGGATGCTCCAGCCCCGGAGCAACCATGGAGTCAGCGCCTATGGTGAAAGAGACAAGCATCTTTTGAAAGTATTGTGCAGATTTCCTTTGAGGAAGAGGTCTGATAAGTCAGATACAGAGCGATCGCTTTTTGAAGTGTTCACCCACAAGTGCTAGGATGTTTTTGTCTTTTATCATTTTCCTGTGTGATATAGGTGTTAGAAATGTAAGTCATCAACAGAAATAAGGACATTATAGGGCATTCCAATTTTGAAATGGTATATACGATATGAATATTTTCTTAGCGTGGAAAACAGACATTTGGACAAATGACTACCTTCCATAATTAAAAGATCAAGGATCTAATTTTAACCACATGTACACTAATGTAAATTCAGAATAATTCAATTGAAGTCAATGAAGTTACTCCAGACTTACAGTGATGTAACTGAAATCAGAATCTGGCCCGAAATCTGTTGTTGCATAGATTGATGCTACTAACAACCTGATATCTTATTGACCTTGAGTTAGGCAAAATTATCTGCCACGTAATGTACATCTAAAGTCATATTAAATTGTATTTACAAAATATAATTGACAGTAAACAATTCATTTCAAAACTTCTATTGCTTTTTTAACTTTTAAAATCCAGATTAATGCCATTACTTTACAACTGAGATCTTTTTTAATTATAGAAGTGTTTAAAACATACAGCTAATCAATACTGAATAAGAGCTTAAACCATCAAATGTAGATAATATTTTTGTCGCAGTGAAAGTGATATGATTTTTTTTTTAAAAATGAATAAGGTAGAGAACTAATCTCTAAGAACCCTACTCTAAAATGTTAGTAAATCAGATTAATTCTTCTGAAAATACAGAACTGCTTTTTTGGCGAAGCCATGTGTTTCCCAGGATGGCCATTCTTAGAAACAGGGTGTCATTATCATTTATGCTGTACCAGCCTTTTTTGACAAGTACTCTTGGTAATTATTAAGGAAATATTGCCACCTAGTGGTAGGATGTGATTATTAAAAGAGTTCTATTAAAATCCAAGTCCCAGACTTACGTAACTATTACTGAACCTAAACAGGGAGGTTAATGAAGTGAATGTTACTTACTGTTCAGAATTAGTTTTGGGTACAAGGCTGGAATGTCAGGCAGCTGTGATGCCTTTCTTTATTGTTCTTTGTAACAGTGTCAAGGGATTATCCTAAGCAAGGTAATTTCAGGTAATAAAGCAGCACAGAGGAGCTGATCCATGAAAAAAACCTGATGAAGTATTTTCAAGTATACTTACCAAATGTATGAACCCAGCTGCTGTCAGCCATGTGCTGATAAATATAGAGCACAGATTCACCAGCTTGATGGAATTACTGCACAAACAAACAAATATATATTATATTCTACAGGTAAGTTGTAACAGGAACACAAGTTATATAAACACACTTTTTAATGAGTATCTGTACACAGAAAGAGAGTTTACTGTGTATATACTTTAGGCCTGAAGTTCCTCATATAGATTTTTGTGGGAACAGGAGCAGGCGCTGTCTGGGAATTTAAAAAATACTGAAAAAATATATGCAAAAAAACATTATTACATAGCTTGCAATGTCTGCTTTCACAGATTTTAAACGGTTTTATATGAAGCTTTTGTGAAGCTATTAAATAGAATGAATGATATTTTAGAAAAGTTCTAAGAGATTTGATCATGATCAAATAGGAGATACCACAGGCCTAAAACATCCATTCTTTCTCTATTGTCACATTACCATTTCCTTTCTTTATTCCTCTTTCCCGCTTTTTTCCTCTGCTTATTTCTATTTGGATTCTGAATAGCAATTAGTTCAGCATAAATACTTTGGGCCGGATTCTCAGCTGGTGTAGATCCAAAGAACTCACGGGAGCTACATCAATTTACATTATCTTGGAAACAGACCTTTTATACTTATAACATGTATTTGTACATCTCTGCTTTTTTCCCAATCTATTTCATTTTTTCTGCTTGGTGTGTTTCTTCAGTATGCTTTTTGCTTTTAGCCCCATCTCTGCAGAGACCTTATATATTGTGAGCAGCCCCATTCATGAAAAATGCATTTACTGAGTTCAATGGAATAGCTCATTGCGTATAAAGTTAAACACCTGTGTAAATCGTTGCGGGTTTGAGATTTTATCCTGCACATATGGAAAATAATCAATGAATAGATTATTGCAGTTAATCTGTAGGCGCTATATTCTGACTGGTAAATTTGGAGCTATGCTGTCATGGGAATTAGGATAATGTAAGAGTGTTAGGTCTCCATGTGAATGTCCCGCCCCCTTTGTGGGAAGAGGGGAGGCATTCTCCTTCTGCAAGAGGATGATGAAACTTGCAGTGTACTGGTGCTTCTGTGGGTTTTCCCCATATACACTATGATTTTGCAACACATTGCTGGTGAAAACACTTCCTTGTATGAAGGAATAAAAGCAAGAAGGTCAATTTGCTATCTTTTGTGAGATTATTTTATTCATTATTCTTGAGCATTCAAATGGTCAGTAGGTATGCGCGAACATATTTGTTAATCCTGAAAGTTCCACCTATTTTTGTGCATGGTTTATCCCAAAATTTGTACCAGAAAATGCATTATTAATTATTTTTCTGTTTAAAAAGTTTCAATCATCCAGCCAGAGAGTAGAAACAATACCACGTGACTCAGGTGATGGATTGCACATTCTGAATAAGGACTAGTTGATGTGAATGCATAGCATAAACTTTCTTAATATTATTTGACTAAATGTTTGCAAGTATCAAATACATGAATAGATATCAGGATCAGTTAGAGAACAATATGCAAATAGGAAAAAGGGTTAAATAGCAATGAATATTATTATATATTACAAATGATTTGACCACATCTACTCTTGATATTAGTAGTTCAGCTAACATCAAGCTAAAACTTTACATAAAGTATCAGATAAGATACTTTTCCTTTTTATAAACACACAAAAATGTTATGAATCCATAGAGTCCATGTTGCTGTAATTCAATCTCATTTTCAGCTAATAACAATCCCCCAGCTAATAAGCAAGCCTAATTGTAATGCTTTGATTTTAAATACTCTTGAAGTGTTTTGGAAAACTTTATTAGTGGCTGCAGTAATCTAGGTTGGAAGATGTTCTTGTGTAGGAAGTATTTTTTCCTAAAGCTTTTACAGACTGATACATCATGGCCCTGACCCTTCAGTCCCCTCTGGATGTGTATTTGCATGTCTTTGAATGTTTATGGGATCAGAACCCAGGTCTGTAGCTATACTGGGTCTTGAGCGATAGAAGGTAGACAAGGAGGAGAATATGGTGTTTTTTAATTGTCCAATCATATATAATTTGGGGCTAAATTGTAGCTATTAAAGGCACAGCTTCATTAGGGGGGAAAAAGGAGTTGTGGATGTGGCAATGCACTAATGATAGTGGCCAGATGTGGTAAAGATTAGGCTTCCAAATTAAATAATGTTTACATTTACAGTTCATACATAAGACCCCATTTTGCAAATTACTCTGTACAGATGAACCTCTGCAGCCACACTGGAGTCAAGTTACTTTGCCCCATCAAGACTGGATGTTTTTTTCTAAAAGATATTCTTTAGTTCAAACCAGAATTCAGCTTTGGCCCATGTGACTCTCAGGGCCCTACAGGTAGTATATATATTCTGTGGATGTGGCCTGCATAACACACAGAGAGCTGCATATGCAGCCCACAATGGTAAATAGGTTGAGAACCTCTGGGGTAAGGTTTGATTTTTACACTTATTTATAAATATATTTTTATACACCTGTTTTTTGTTTTATAATTAAATTAAAAAGGCTCTTCTTAAAGAAAAGAGGGTGCAAGTACTGTTAGTGTTTTGTATTTTAAGAGTAACCTTCACACTGGTAGAAGATAATGGATTAAAAAAATGTGATTTACTGATCCATCAAATGCTTGTCATTCAGTTTGCTAAGTACAGTCATATTCAGCTGTCTGAACGTCTTTGAGCAATACATACTCTGAAATAGACTGACACCCCAATCCAGCATGCGGATAACTAAGTACGCCAGTTGTCCCACTGGAGTAGGTAAATGGTTAACATATTATATCATATCATATCCTATTGGTGGTTACATTTGATCATAACATAGGATTCAAACCTCTGTGTCCTTAGATTAGACCAAAAGGCATCATTCAGAAGGATACAGTGCTTCGTTATCAAAGTCTGAATATTGCTCATCCATGAATTTCAGGGGGGGAAAGCTTCTCAATAATGCAATAATATGTCAATCAGTCTCCAGGTGCTATCTTTATTTTTATATATAGATATATAAAAATAAATAAATGGTATTAAAGCACTACTTTGATTCTTCTTGAGGTCTATTTTATTTTTTACATGTTTATTCATAATTGTACCTTGTCTGTCCTTTATGAAATACACCCATCTTTCTGCCAGAGACTAAATATAGATGAAAGATTAGTCACAAACATTTTCCTGCTCTTTAAGCTCTTTCCAACATCTGTGCAAAATCCCTTATTGTGAGGCTTACCTAAAGCCCTGTACTTCTATTGAAACCTTGTATAAAACGGTGAAGGGAAAAAACTAACTATATTCAATCTTCTAAAACATGGGAGAAAAAAAATTAACAATTCTGAAAAAGATATATTACATTTCATAGGTAAGTACATAAACTTTAAATTAGCAAGGGCCATGGTTAGCCTCCTAGAGGTTCAGTTTACACAAGTAGGCTGTAAACTCTTTCTGCATCCATAGAGGGTCTGCTAAAGAACAGTTAGGCATTTTTTAAATGGTCTGATAATTACACAACACCCAACAACTACCTGTTTAATATACTCCCTTTCCATTTGTAAAGTGTTCTAGCTGCTTCCTGTGGATCACAGTATTATGAATGGCCCTTCTGCTGATGGTATGAATGAGATTTGTTCCTTTAATCCGAGTCCTTCAATTGCTACATTCACTCAGCATCTCTCTTTGACTTTGTATTATAGAAAATAAAACCTTGCAGGCAGTAATTTTAATTTAGGGGTTAAAGTCAATAATATTTTCCAAGGGAGGGGAATTCTCTTCCTTCCCAGCAAGACCAGATATTACATGCACTGTCTTTGCACATAAGATAGAGAAGAAGGGATGTGCTGCATAACCCATCAGTATTACACCATACTTGTCAATAGATGTTGCTGCTGAACACACAACATACTAAAATGGTCCCTTATGTTATTTGTTTAGAGCATTCTTCACACAAGCATGGATCACTTAAGAGAGGAATATGAAATAATACATTCAGAATTGTTTAAATAATCCAAAGAGTTAATGTTTAAAATATAATTATTTCAGTGTTGATAATGATAAATTGTATTTATTATTGCAGCTGAACATTTCAGGCTCTATCCTGAGCCTTCTGATATTTGGCTTGCCTTGCAAATCAGCTGCTATGTGTGTGCATGCATTTCCCATTGGCTTCAGCAGTATTTGGCCTTCATATTCAGATATGAACAACAATATTTTAAAATGTCTACAGAAGCATAATACAGGATCCTACAATGTTTTACAGCTCTCTCTATCCAGGAGACACTTCACCTGTGGCTGAAGTGAAGTCATCTGCATGATAGAATGCAGCAGCTGTTTTACAGCATACAGTTCTAAATCACAGTTTAGGGCAGAAAGTGAGGAACACCTCTGTATATAACAAACTTCTGTTAGAATTTATGTAGGCAGAATGTATTTAATCAAAAAAGGAATTTAGTGAATTAACTGAGTTAACTGTTCTAACTCTTGCAAAAGTGCTAAAGGATGATTAGTAACCACAAGTGGTCAGCACCTTGGTTTTACATCTCATCTGAAAGATTATAATACAAAAATATTATGAAAAGCTTTCTTTTTCCACATTTGATTTTATTTACAGAATAATTTTGATATATAGCACCTATGAGCATCGCTGATGGAAATAGTGTTTGTTGGTGCTGGCTAGAATTCCACACAATTTTTGTATGTATGGCCTATCACAATGGGCTTTAATGCTAGGTGTGTCTGGTTACAAGTTATACTTAAGTGCATGATTAGCACATTTTGTTCCATTATGAATTATTCTTAATGCTTATCAGATACATTTTCCTCCCTCTTTCTTTTTCTGTTTTTAGGTTATGGGGTTAATTTTGCACATTGTATCCATTTAAAAACACCACCACCAACAATAAAGCTTCCAGGTCTAATTTCAGGTCTAGTAGAACTGAAGGCAACTGCATTGAAGTCAATAAAATAATACCCATTCATTCCAGTTTGGCCCACAAATTTTATACAATGATACTTTTTGGACACCAGTAGTATTTTATACTATTAAATTGTCTTTAGGTTTATTAAATGAGACATGAGATATCAGATGCGCCTGATTACTGCATGCTCAAGAATAGGGTGGGACACATGAAACAATTTATTTTGAGGCCTTTGATGATTTTTAAATTAAAAGAATTGTTTAGTGATAAACCAGTTTGGGTTAATCAACTGAGTAAAACTGAAAGGCAGCCACATAAGTAAGCTGGATTTGAAGGGCTTTATAGTAATCAGAACAGGAGATTTACGAATGCTTGCATATTCATGTAAATAATTACAAAGATGATGAGCATCTAATTTGGGAGGAAAGTTTGGCACCAGACAAATGTTGTTATGAACAAAGGGGTCAAGTCCTAAGCCAGCTTTAAATGGAACACATTTAATTAATGCATCTCCCCTTCACTTACTGTTCTGGAGCCTTAAAATTCCACCACTCCTGAAGGGGATTTGAACCTTTATCCAAAGCCTACTGAAGTCATTGCGAGTCCTTCTACTGACTTCAGTGTGCTTTGGATAAGATTCTTTGTGTTCTGCAAGGAGATTTTAATACACTGAGTTTCTGTAACAATTACACTTTCTCTCTGCAGGACCAGTGGCATTTTAAGGCTACAGGACTGAGTTTCTCTGTGTGTTTATTAAACTAGTTTCATTATTTTAAGAAGAAAAACTACATTGGCTACATGCTCACACAGTTCCAGGCAGATCTTAAGCCAATTCCAGAGTCATTTAGGATCTCTTTCAATATGAAAGGTTGACTAATGAGAACAGTTTTAAGGTTTTAAAGGGTTGCAGAGCCTGCTGGTTGTCATGAACCTGTGCACATCTGAAGGGTCTATTTACTCAACAACAGTAGGGTGATTTACATGGGTTCATTGCTCATTAAGGGTAATAAACTCCACCTGAGTTACACACCCTCAAATATGTGATGATGAATCAATAGGGAAAGAGAAGGGGGATTTTAAAGTGGAACTGAACTTCTAGTATTTAAAAATAATTACTAGAACATTAGTTCAATATTTTAGCTGGTGTATTTTAATGCATGTTAAAAAGTTTGCTGCTGTGAAACATGGCACAGTCCCTTTGGTGCTTCAAGGTGATTAACTAATGCGCATAGTAGTAGCTAATGTGCATTCTGCTTCCCATACCAAGTATGTTCAGCCACACAAAAGCAGTTAAAATGAGAACAACACTGTTGTTAACTGAAGTATTTTAAACATCCTTCTAAAGGAACGCTTATGACAATGAATGGAATGAGATATCCAGAGTGGAAAATCAATGTAAAAAATGTTTTTGAAATCTAAGATTTTCATAATGATGAAGAACCATAATGATTATCTCTAAACTGCCATCTCCCTGTTGGGTGTTTTGTTGGGCAAGTTATTTCTAATTTAATGAGACAATAAAGTAGGGATCCAAAATGAGGAAGGATGGATTATTTAATCAATGTGTAGATCTATCACTCTGCCTTTACATTTATAATCACTCAGTCCCTTGAATATTACAGGTATAAAAATGTATCAAGTGAAATATCAACAGATGATATCAAAGAGACATTTAAATTGATAAACCATTCACCAGAAATACAGGATGGAATGGGAATTTAGAAAACAAGAGATGGCTATATATTTGTATGAGAAATAAGACCATATATTAGGAGGCACTTCGTTCACCAATGCAGCAGGTTCACCAATGAAACTAGTCACCAATCACACTAATAATCACATTTACTAAAAGATGGAATAGCTGCATGGATGAGGCTCAAACATGACTTGACTCATGAATGTGCCTTAGAGTCTAGTGTCTTTGATGAAACTTACATCAGGGAAAAAAGTCAAAAGGGGTGTGTGTGTGTGTGTGCGTGTGTGTGTGTGTACATATATATAAAAAATTTGCGTTTTGGTGTGTGCTATTCAAACCATAACTTCCATTCATTCTAATGGCATTATGAAAGGAGAAATTACCTCTGACTATGACTATAAACTGGAGAAGACAGACTACAGACAGGTTAAGTAGGTATTAAAGTCTTACCTTGTTTTTAGGATATTCAGAAACTGCAAAATTTCTGAAAACTGTATCAGTCTAAGGGCTCTTAAAAATCTTAAACCTGCATAAAAAGAGAATCAGACATAACTCCAGTGCATAGTGACCCATACTGTTATAACATCCGACTTACAATGGTAACAATCAATGAAATCAATGGTATGTAGCATACAGAATGTCAAATACCTTTGAAGTGTTCTTCCATATTTAATAGTCCCAAGATCTTGACCAGCTTTTTTCAGTTTAATTTAGATCTGTTTCTATACCCTACCAGAAATGCATACTTCAAGTATTAAGTTATGGTGTGGGAAATTTAAACAGCTATGATTACCTCAGAGCTAAGAAGAAAAAACTTTACTTAGCCTCAGTTGGTAGTCTTAGTGCCCATATTCCTCTCTTCTAGAATGGCTTACTATTGCAAATATAGATATATAGATACTCCTGAAAGCTCACAACTCCCCCAGTGCTTAGCAAAAACTAAGATTTTTTGGGCAAAAATTATGGGCAAGAGATCTGATAACCTGATTTTTGAAGAAAAAAAAAAAACCCAGACAGTGGATAGGCCTGATTAAATTGGTAATTCTTAATGACGTAAAATCTTTTATTAGGTTATAATGCTCCATATCCCCACCCCAAACTCTAAAACTTCAGACAGGGATATGTAGTTACCATGTACTGTGGCTTTAAAAAAGGTAAAACTACTGCATTTGCCTTCAAGCAGGTTACAATTACAGTAAATGACTGAACTTTGGTTCTTAGAAAAATAATATTTATAAAGAGATAGCACTGAGTTGTTGAAATCAGGTTGCTTGGATAGCAATTCTCAGACAGCTGCAGGGCCAGACAGAGAGAGCGAGCGAGAGAGCAAGAGAAAATACCATAAAAGATTAAGGGCTTAAATTACTGAGAGACTTATGCTGGTACTAAACAATTTTGCTGCAGATCTTTGGCATATGAGTAAAGGTACATTGTGTATTTTATATATACAGCTTATAAAGTTAAAAAGAAGGCTTTTGAGGATTTTTTTTTTTTTAACTGCACAGTAGGGCCAAGAGTTACATAAAAATTGCTTAATATGGTAGCTTGACCGCTAGGGTTGGGCCTAGGGCAACGTCAACTCATGCATCCTCCTTAATGACATTTTTAATTTAGTAACAACTAATAATCTCATTTAGCACATATACAGCACTTTCTATTTTCAAAGTGCTAACTAAGGATACAATGCTACAAAAACTTAACCACATGTACAACTTGACTCATAGCAGTTGACTCCAGTGGGACTGCTCACAAAAGTGAAATTATACATGTGTTTGCAGAGTTAATTTTACAACACGCCAGTGAGGTAGTTACATATTATTATTCTTATCGTCATCATTATTTCCAAGTGATGCAAAGCAGTCTTAACGAGGTTGAAGATCTTATGTGTAAAATGGGCATAATAATACTTCACTGAGTACTTTACAAGGGTATTGTGAGAATTAATCAAGATTTGTAGAGTCACCTGAGATCTAGATTAAAAAAAAAACCAATACAAAACTGCTCGATATTACTAAATTTTCCACATGATCCCAATTATCGAGTCAGTAGTTTAGGAACAGGTAACAAGAAAGCTAAGCTATATTATCCTGTTTCAAAAGAAAAGTCTGCTTCTTGGAGACAAAAATAACCAAAAGCTGCTAAGAAGGCTGGGAAAGGTTATGGTTAGCTCCAAAATCTCTATTTCCAACTCCTCACAGTGATTTTTACCTATTTTAAATGGTCAGACAAACGAGGCACAACACACCAAGGAGCAAATGGTTACAGTAAATTGTTTGCTGCAGCTGAAAAATCATTAGCAGTGAGGTTCTACAATTGCTATAGCCTACATCATTTTAAAAATGTTCCTTCAGGGAATAATACTTGAAAAAGAAAGTGAATGGGTTAGAGGCCAGTTTACTTAAAAACAGCACTGCTCAGGGTGACACAACCCTTGCATCTTTTTCATGAAGCCGTCTTTTTTGCGCAGTTATCAGTTTATTGCCAAGGTGAGTCTTTTAAAATGAAGGTGAAGCATCACATCCCAGAAACTATATAGCATGTGCCATGAATGATATCCAAAGATGGTGAATGGGGATGCGGTAAAAATAACACTATCATCATATTTCCTCATCTGTGGACCTGAACCTAAAACACTAAAACAAACTTTTCAGAAGGTTCTGAAATACCTGTTTAGCTTCCTCAACCAACGTTTATTTTTCATGCATCGCTGCACATCCAAACGGAAGCCAGGACAGGAAGTGCCATCATAATAAAAAGGCAGACTATCCTACATGTATTACTACCCTGACTGGAATCACGGAGGGAATTTTACAGCAACCTGCTCTGACAACATTTCCAGCTAATGCTTTCTGGAATTAATAGGTACACGTATTAAGGACAATCAAGGACAAGCACGTCTTTTCAGTGCCCTTCTGAATGGAACCCAAAGCTTTATACCTGTATTATTACTAGTGCTCCCAATTTATGCTGTTTATTTCTCTTGATTTTTACAGAAGTTAATTGCTGATATTTTAGGAGAAAAAATACGTGTTATAAATATTCAAACATTTTTTTGAATTATATAAAAAACTGCCTTCCTCTGAAACCCTGCACATTTGGTGAAAGTTTGGGACCCACCATTCAAACTGAGTTGGGACATCATCATTTTCCTTGGATAAAATTCCCCTACATGAAGCACATTTAATCAGAACAATTTAGGGAGGCTAAATACATCCTCCAAAATGGAACCAAACCACAGGCCTATAGTGAAACACCCCTGTTGACCCTTGATGCCTGATATTGGAAGGTTTATGCTGATGTTTAAACTAAAATTTATATGTTAGGAAAAGCGAATATGCTTAAAAATGTTAATATTAAAGCTCTAACGCAAGAAGTGAAAAACAAAATGTATAAATAGTGGAAATAGACTTTGCAATAAATTTGAGGCCTAATGGAGGCTAGCAGTTAGCATGAGGCCTAAATTCTTCACATAGTGCTTGACCTAGAATTATAAGATTTAACAATACATATCTTGTGATAAACAAGTAAGCAGCAAAGGAACTGTTGACCTGTGACCCCTGACTTATCTTGGAAGGTTTATGCTTAAAATCAAACTATAATCTAAATATTAGGGAAAGTTAAAATGCTTAAAGATGTTGATAATAAAAATAATTAAAGCTGTAATGCAAGTAAGGAAAATAAATGTAAAATTACAGTTATAGGCTTTACAAAAGTATGAGACCTACATACTGTAGTTGTTAGCCTATAGTGCTTGTCCTAAGGTTATAAGATTTTGTGATAAACAAGAAAACCACAGAAGGGCATTTTACACTTGAAATAATGGATTTTGGGGGGATTTTTGGTAAACGTATTAATGTGTTGGAAATATTGGGAAATTTATGACGCAAGTATCTTATGCTAGCAAACGGAACTTTAATTATGGTTCCCTGGAATGACAAACATGGGCAGAAGGCTGAGACCTAAATCAAATATGGTCCTGGATGTGTGTGTGTGGGGGGGGGGGGGTAAGGAAAAGGATACAAAAATACAGTCAGACCAGCCTCTGGTTGGGACACTGGGAGGACAGGATGGTGGAAATCTGGAACATCATTCCCACTTACTTTTCCTAACATCTTTCCCTTCTCTGATGCTTCTGGGTGGTCTTCAGAAGGTTGTGACTATGCATAATGGTGACTGTTTCCCTACACTTATTTTACTTGCATGTATTTAAGTACTATAGTCCTCATGTCTGTGTGTGATTCACCAAACTCATCTTCTATAATACATTTACATAGCCACCTGAGTAAACGAACCTGTTATTAGTGACTTGTGCATCTTGCACTCTAAATTAATCAAAGGCTACAGAACAGACTAAGCTTAAAATGATAGAGTTTTATGGGCTTTTGGAATATATATCCATGGAACAAACCCACATTTACATGTCAAAACCATTGTGAAATGCATTGACATAAATTGGTCATACCAGCCGGAATCCCAACATTGGTCTCCCAGAATACCAAACATGGGAAGGGGACTGAGACTTAATCAAATATGGTCCCAGACATGTGTGGGTGTAAGAGAAAGGTGTATAGAAGAGTTCTATGCCCAGTCCTTAGTTGGGACATCACGATGACAGGACAGTGGAAACCTTATTGTCACTCCCATTTACAGTGCTTCTCCAGTTACTATTCTTTCCATCTTCATTCCAAATGATCTCCATAAGGTTGTGAGTATGCACAATGCAGGGCATTGTTTTGCTACACTTATCTTTATTTTTCTTTGCTTATAATTATACTTGCACCCTTGAATTTCAGTACTAAATAAAGTCTTCATGTCTCTACATACATAAAAACATAACCTATGAGAGAAGATTGAAAATGGCCCTTGAGGAATTCCACCAGGATTTCAACAATTTCCACCCCACATCAACCTCAGCCTGGACCAGTCCACACAAGAGATCCACTTCCTGGACACTACAGTGCAAATAAGTGATGGTCACATAAACACCATCCTGTACCGAAAACCTGCTGACCGCTATACTTACCTACATGCCTCCAGCTTTCATCCAGACCACATCACATGATCCACAGTCTACAGCTAAGCTCTAAGATACAACCGCATTTGCTCCAATCCCTCAGACAGAAACAAACACCTACAGGAGCTCTATCAAGTGTTCTTAAAACTACAATACCCACCTGCTGAAGTGAAGAAACAGATTGACAGAGCCAAAAGAGTACACAGAAGTCACCTACTACAGGACAGGCCCAACAAAGAAAGTAACAGAACGCCACTAGCTGTCACCTTCAGCCCCCAACTAAAACCTCTCCAGTGCATCATCAAGGATCTACAACCTATCCTGAAGGACGATCCCTCACTCTCACAGACCTTGGGAGACAGGCCAGTCCTCGCTTACAGACAGCCCCCCAACCTGAAGCAAATACTCACCAGCAACTACACACCACATAACAAAAACACTATCCCAGGAACCTGTCCCTGCAACAAACCCCGTTGCCAACTCTGTCCACATATCTATTCAAGGGACACCAT